AGGGGACAGATGGAAGTCCACCTGACTCTAACTGCACTGAGCCTTGGTGAGTGAGGATCTGCCTCCTACTTTCCTCTTTTTTTTAATGCTTGTTGGACACAATTGGATCATTTTATGATTAACAAAAACGCTGCATCAGCACATGTGCTTTTCAAAGCCTGGAGAGAAGCCTCAGATGGGAGTTCAGTGATGGCTGGTGGAAGGCCAGCTTCAAAATGCAGCTGGGGGCTCCCAGGAAGGGAGGGGCCTGATCTGCCCAGGTGGGTGGCCCTTTCCACAGCTCCCACCAGAGGCCGCCCCCAGCCCCACCCTCGGAGCAACCTGTGCCAAGTTATCAGAACTAGTATCAGATTCATCTTTACAGTACTAATGTGGGCAGGAGGCTGGTTATCAATCATCCACTGATACCCGTCCAGTCACCCTCTCTATGTCTCTCCTGATGATAGAGATAGCATTATTAAAAGGCTATGAGGTACTAGTTAGCTTCCCCTTGGCCTGTGAAACAGGTGTTGTAAAAAACAACTAACAGAGGTGAAAGTTAAATGCAATAACATGTACGCGTTTTTAAGTGTGCAGGTTGTCCAGTTTCAGAAGACTACACCCCTTTGCAAGCACCACCAGACCACCTCTATTGCCCAAACGGTGCCCCTCCCCACTCGGATCCTCACCTCTCCGGTTCCAAAGGCAGCACCTGGTGGTTTGCTCCATCACAGGCCGTTCTGCCCATCTCTGCACTGTGCACAGTGTGTCCCTGGTGTCTCTTGCTGGATGGGTCATTCCTTCATTTTCACGTTGGCGTCCAGAGTGTGGATCCGGTATAATCCCTTCAGGTTCTCCACTGCAACCTGATGGGCGCAGCTCCACTCCAAACTGAGAAGTATCATAGAGAGCTATTCTAGATATCGTGTCTGTACAGTGGAGTAGTATTCAGCAATTTAAAAGCAGGAGATCCTGCCATGCCCTTCACATGGATGAATTTGGAGGACAGTGTGCCAAGGGAGATAAGCCAGACACAGAAGAGCAGGTCACGATTTCACTTAGAGGAGGAATTAAAACTGCTGAACCAGAGAAGGAGTAGAACAGTGGTTCCCAGGAGGCAGGGAGGGGCCTATTCAATAGGACAAGGTTCCAGTGATGCAAGATGACCAAGACATTGTCTGTCCAACACTGTACCTATGTTTAATATTTAAAAAATAAATAAAAAGAAGTTAAAAAAAAAAAGCTCAGCCCAGATGGCCAACTATTGATGAATCCATATAAATGGGATATTAATCAGCAATAAGAGATAAACCAGGTTTAGTGGCCACACCTCTAATCCCAGTGCTCAGGAGCCTGAGGCACGAGGATCACCACTTTGAGGCCAGCCTCAGCCATTTAGCAAGTTCCTGAGCAACTTAGTGAGACACTTTCAAAATTAAAAATGAGAGGGGCTGGGGATGTGACTCAGTGTTTAAGCCCCCCCAGGTACAATTCCCAGTACCAAAAAAAAAAAAAAAAAAAAGAGGAAAAGGAAGAGGAGAAGAGATGAAGTACTAAAACATCCCTAATAGGAATTCTAGGAATGACCCTGAAAACATGATTCCAAGCGAAAGAAAGCCGTCACAAAAGACTGTAGGCTCTGGGTTCAGTTGACATGAAATGGGCAGAAGAGGCCAGGCAGAGACAGAACCGGCTGGTGCCTGCAGGGAGGAGGGAATGGGGACTGTTGGCTAAGGATGAAGGGTTTCCCTTGGGGATGGAGAAATGTTTTGAAGTCAGCTGTGGTGGTGACGCCCGACTCTACAAATGTACCAGAAGCCATTCCTTGTACACTTCGACTGGATCTAGGGGACGTGAAGCACCCCACAGGAAAGTCCTCTTCAGGCTGAGTGAAGCTTCCTGCCTCTGCGTGCTGGTAGGCATGGAGGCTCAGCTCTCCTGGCCATGCTCAGGGTTGGCGGCCCTGGGCCAGAAGGTGTGTAAATGCTTGGCTTCAGTAGACCAGGCGGCGTCAGCTGCTCTCGCTCCTGGTTCTCGTTGTCCACCTTGTCCTCTGGAGCTAGATTTTTAAATTAAGTTGTATCAGCTCTGTCCATTGGTGGTTTCAGAAGAAGTGACTCCCCAGGAAGCCAGCTTCCATTAGGATGCCATTGGTCTGCTTCCCTGTCTTTAATCAAGAGAGTAATGTGTTTTATCATTCTTAATATTACTTTATGGAAGTATAATTCATGTACATAAAATGCACAAATCTTGAGCACACAGCTCCATGGACTTTTCCTTTATTTTATAACCACGAGGCCACCAACTAGACAGGCACAAGACACCAGCCCAGAGAGTTCCATGAGATTCTTTCCTTTGGCTCTGATTGAGCCCAGGGTCTCCAACACGCTAGGCAAGCGCTGTGCTTCTGAGCTACTCCCCAGCCCTCCTCAAGTTCTTTACAGACCCTTCCCCAAGAGGCAACCACTCTTCTTACTTTTCCACCAAACACTCATTTGAACTGTTGTAGCATAGCATCTAAATAAAATCAGACAGAGTAGATTCTTCTGAGTCTTGTTTCAGTGATCACGATGGCTTGGAGACGCACCCTTGCTGTGGCACGGATCACTCTTACTTTGTATTGTTGAGTACCTCCCACTGTATGGGCGCACCCTGGCTCAGCCATTCATGCATGGCCATCATTTCCATTTTGGAGCTATTATGAATAAAGCTGCTATCAATATTCAAGCTTTTTTTTTTTTACCCCCTTAAGTAAATGCTTCGGTGTAGAATTACCAGGTCATATGGTAGGTGTATGTTTTTCGTTTCCTGTTGGCAGAAATGGGTTCTGATTGCTTCAGTGTCTAGACCAACAAACTTGTGTCAATCATTTTCATTTTGGCCCTTCAAATGCCTATGAAGTGGCATCTTATTGTGGCGTTAATTTGCAATTCTGAGGTGGCTAACCATGCTGGTTGTCTTTTCCTGTGCTCACTATTTGCATAACTTCTTTGGTGAAATGTGTCCAAATCTTTTGCTTATTTTTAATTGAGTTATCTTTTTATATTGAATCAAAGCCTACATCCAATATATGCACTGTGAATATTTTCCTCCAAGTTCAGGTTGCTTCTCCAATTTCTTAGCGGTTTCTTTTGACAGTGATCTCTCTGCTGAGTTTTGTTTCATTTTTATTTATTATTATTATTTATTATTGTTATTATTATTATTTTGTACTGGGGATTGAACCCAGGGTGCTTAACCGCTTAACCACTTACCCACATCCACAGTTCTTTTTATTTTTTATTTTGAGACAAGGTCTCACTAAGTTGTTTAGGACCTGGCTACATTTCTGAAGCTGACTTAGGAGAGCCTTCTGCCTCAGTCTTCTGAGTCGCTGGGATTCCAGGTGTGTGCCACCATGCCCAGCTTCTTCTTCTTCTTTTTAAGAATGTATACTTTTTAGCTGGGTGTGGTGCAGGCCTGTAATCCCAGTGTCTCCCAAGGCTGAGGCAGGAGGATAGTGAACACAAAAACCAGCCTCAGCAAAAGCGAAGCCCTGAGGCTGGGGATGTGGCTCAAGCCGCATGCGTGCGCCCCGGGGTTGGATCCTCAGCACCACATACAAACAAAGATGTTGTGTCTTCAGAAAACTAAAAAATAAATAAATAATTTTTTTAAAAAAAAAAAGATTACAGATCAGTCAGTAGAGTTCTTATTTTAAAAAAAAAAAAGTGAAGCCCTAAACAACTCAGTGAGACCCTGTCTCTAAGTAAACACAATATAGGTCTGGGGATGTGGCTCATGGTCAAATGCCCCTGAGTTCAATCCCCGGAATCCCGCTGCCCCCACCCCGAAAAGCATATTTTTTACAGGCTCTTAGATAGTACATGTATTTAAGAAATAAACATATTTAATCCTATTTTACAGGTAAGAAAATCAAGGCCCAGAGAGTGCGAATGCCTAGCCCAGACCTACCACCGGGTACACAGCAGAACCAAGACAGTTCTGGGAGTCCAAAGCCCAGTACTCTGTCCAGCTGCATGATTAATTTCTAATCAAATCCAGAAAATCAAAGGCAATTGCACAAGATGGTTTGTAGTAGATGTATTATTTAGGAGAAACCAAGACGGGCTGAGCTTCAGGGTCCAGGAGTAACTAATTGGGGCCTCTTGTATTCGTGGATATAAAATACAAAAATAAATAGAGATATTAAAGGAAGGGAACACTCTCCCCTCCCAAAAGAAATAAAACTGTGATCGCCCTGTGCACTGTAATCTCTGATGAGAACATTTAATCAATTAGCATTGCTGTTGTCAAAACTTGCTTCCCACCATGCTGGGAAGCCGCCTCAGGCACCTCCTGGGCTGGGATCGGTCCCTGCATGAAAAGTGCATGTTCTCACTCCCAGATGAAGATCCTGCAACCCCAGATGTAAAGCCCGAGCCTCTTATCTGCCATTATTTATCTCTATGCTAATAAAATGTCAGTCCCCAGGGGAAGACTTTAAAAGCAGCCTGCTGTCCCTGCTCGCAGGCCAGGCTGGGCGGCCCTTGCAGCCTGCAGGAATGAGCCCCTGGCCTAGGCAAGGCACTTTTTTCTGGTTTCCCTGGTTCACACAGGAGCTCAAAGAATCAGCATTTGTACAGCATTTCCCAGATGCTGGGCCCTGTGCCCACAGCAGGCATCTTAAAATCCTCATAGGATCCTGGCAGGGAGGATCAGCAGGCCCACTTTGTTGACAAAGAAAGGGACCTCCCAAGATCCCTCTCCTATCTAACCATGGCTAACCTCTGCAAACCATTTTATGCCGAGGGCCTGGCAGAGTACCACTCACTTATTCCTCAAGCAGCCTGAGAAGAGGATGCTTTGATTATTCACATTTTACACAGCAACAAGCCCAGGATCAGAGAGGTGATGAGGTTGACCCAGAATCTCACAGCACAAGGACCAAGGAAAGGAGGGAGAGCAGAAGTCCCTCCTAGCTGTTGCCAAGCCTGTGCTCTGTTGTCCCCACACCAGGCCTGCTCAGAGGTAGTGCTCACCTGCGCTCCTTAGAGTCTGAGGTCCAGGTTGGCTCCTGCCATCAGCAACTTCAAGTTTGAGAAAAAAAGACCAAGGAGATAGGTCATGTTTTAATGCCCCCACAATGTGGCTCCAAGATGATTTAAGATGAATGAATGAGTTGTTGTATGATTCTTCACCCTAGAAGAATAAGGAAAGATAAGATACTGAGGCTTCCTTTGTGATCACCTTACCATTTGAGATACCTGCCCACACTGTCTGACCCAGACTCCTTCAGGACACTATGCAGTCCAGGCTGGTAAAATCAAACCGGGCAGAATCATCATTTCAATAGTTAATTATCAATTTAAAAAAACCAGCCAGATACACACCTGGAACCCCAGCAACTCTCGGGGTTGAGGTAGGAATATCTCAAGTTAAAGGCCAGCGAGGTGACTTCGCAGACCCTGTCTCAAAATTTAAAAATCAAAAGAAAAAGAAAAAGCACAGGAAGGGCTAGGGGGGTCTAGCTCAGAGGGAGAGCATATGCCTGGCATGTCCAATGCCCTGGGTTTGATTGCCAGTAATATAAATAAATAAATTATTAATAAGGTTTGTTTGTTTGTTTTTACTTTTAGTATTGTGGATTTAATCCAGGAGCACTGAGCTATGTCCCCTGCCTTTTTCATTTTGAGTCAAGGTTTCACTAAGTTGCTGAAACTGGCCTAAAACTTGTGATCCTCCTGCCTCAGCCTCCCAAATTGCTGGGATTGCAGGCCTGAGGCACCACCACACCCAACAGTAATAATTAAAAAAAATAATACATAGAAAGGCTGGGAGTGGAGCTCAGTGGTAAATCACTTGACTTGCATGTATGAGGTCCTGGGTTCAATCCCCAGTTCTGCAAAAATAATAATCAGAGTCGGGGGTGGTGGCACTTGCCTGTAATCCCAGTGACTTGGGAGACTGAGGCAGGAGGAATGCAAGTTTGAGACCATGGTCAACTAAAGATGATGGACAGAAGGGGAGAGATCTGAATGTGCCAAGAAACTGAGCAAGGGCTGGCAGCCTGGTCAGGGCACCTGGGGGTGTGCAGATTCTGACTTCAGACATTTTTTAAGCTTAGTGTCTCCTCCTCCTCCTCCTCCTCCTCCTTCTTCATAAAAGCCTGTCTCTTTACAGTCTCATCCACACCTTTGACAACTAACTTCTCCCTCCTCTGCAGCCCCCTCCCACGACCCCTCCCACCCCTTCTGGCTGTGGGTCCTCTTCATATCCCTTTTTCAGTGAGCATTCAAGGACACCTGCTCTGTGCTATATCTTGGCCTGGTGGTGACCAGGGATGAAAATGACAGCCCCACCCTCTCCAGGAATGCATAGGGAGGCACATGGCCCTGGGCGCCACCTGCAGCTCCCTAGCAGGCCGCCTAGTCCAGGCCCCAGCCTGCAGAGGCCACAGGCCCCCCTCCCAGGGTGCTGTCTTGGTGGCTCTGGCAGCCAAATGTCATTTTTGTTGCTTTATAAACCCCTGGCTTACCTGTGGCATGTACTGGCTTGCACTTGTCTCCACGGGGACAAGTGGGAATATTAATGTATTTGAACCCAATTCGAACAAATGATGGGAGGAAAAACAAAACACCAGGAATGCAGAGATCACATAGGGAGGGATACCTCTGAGCATCCTGCCCCTAGGAGCAAGATTCTAATGGTTAAAGATAAAAAAAAATTCACTTAACCTGGTCTCTAGATCACAGCCAAGTACTCTGTATGATGTCCAGACCAATAGTCTGCTCTCCTTACTGGTGTATGTGTTTTCACTATGTCGTCGTTCAATTCACACAAACCCCTGAGTGAGCTAAGGAATTGTCCTGTGTAGCTTTGACTGCAGGTGATTTCTGCCTTCTATGCTGAGGGCAGAATGTAATAAGCACACACATATTGATATTTATCTTTGAAATAAGGCATTTCCATGTGGGGTATAATGTGGCCCCTGAATTACTTCACAAAAATATTACTTTACAACATATAAAAAGCAATGTAACGACTACCTATAAACCAAGGAATGTCATCAAATTCATCCGTGGCTAATGGATTAAAGATTAATGTGACCACCACCACATGTTGACCTCAACTATAAACTATTGGGGCCAAGTAAGTAATAAAGGAGACATTAAGATGCCCCTGTTACTCCTTGGACCTGATGAGAGCATTCAGGTCACTTCTGCCCTGCTCCAAGATGCTACCTGTAACTTAGGACATGGAAACTAAGTCACAGGTGAGAGGTGGGCACAGGGTGCTCAGCATGGACCAGGCAGCTTGTAGGGCCCAGGCCATTGGTCAAACTCTAAAAGAGTCTAAAAGGCAGGAGGGACGCGATGTGAAAGAATATAGGACCACGGAGGAGATCGCAGGCCAAGGAACAGCAAGACGCGTTTGCACGGGAAGCGAATCCAGGGGCTGCTCAGAGCCAGGGCAGGATGGAGAAGCTGCCCCAGCAACAATAGAATCTGCCCCCAACCTCTTTCTTCCCCAAAGCATGAAACTCCTGATTTCAAACTAGTTCTTTTTTGCCTCTGAAAGAGAAACAAGAAAAAGATGTGGCCGCGTGGTTCTTGCAACAGGGAGAGAAAAGAAAGAAAAGAGGGGAAAAGAAAATCTTTTGGGGGTTTGAAGCAGAAAGGGCCTCTCTCCCCTTTATCGATAATTTTGAAAGGGTTGCTGCAAGACACTGACTAATGACACGTGACCTTTGGATGCTCCACGAGGCCTCGGGTGCAGGCCCCAGGCCCAGCAGGGACCCCTCTGCCAGTTAGGGGTCACTCTCTCCATTCAAAGCTTTATTGGCTCCCTCCAGTCTCAGGGCGAAGTCCTGCTGCTCTGGGACTTTTACAGCTTTGATTGAGGAAGGCTATTCAGGGCAGGGAGAGGGTCTGTTTGTTTTCAGGAGGAAGCCTCTGTGAGCGTGCCCCCTCCCCCTGTGCATCCAGGGCTGCCGAAGAGATGAAAGCCACGGCTCCCTTGGCCGCCATTGGACAGTAGGAGCTCCACTCAGTGTGGAATAATAAAGGCATATCATGCTGCATAAATTATCTTGTGATTGACAGGCTTTCTTCCAGCTCCTGCTTCAAGGGGAGACCTGGTGGGGGAGGGGCCGGGACGGAACTGCCAAGGGCTCCCTCAATTTAGTCAGGCACCTACTGTGTGCTGGGACCTGAAGGGGAACTTCACAAGCAGGTCCCATTCCATCCCTGCCAATAGGAGGTCAATATTATTTATCCCTGTGACGCGCATGAGCAGACAGGATCAGAGAAGTTCCACGATTTCCCAGCAGAAGCCACAACATGCCGATGTGAGAATATTTTCCAAAAGGCTTTAGAAAATCGGCTTTTTATTTTTTTCAAAACAATATGGAGACTTGATTGGCTCATAGACCTGAACGTCCAGGGGTGAATTTTGAATATTAGTCGTTGGTCAAGTGTGTGACAACCCCTCTTTAAATTTCAGTGGTCCCCATAAAGAACTTTTGTGTTTTCTTTCCTTCAGGTCCATGGGCAACTTGGTTCAGCTTGGTGACGCAGAACTCAGAACTTCTGGTTTGTTCTGAGGTCTTCAGTTTGGCATTCACCTGGAGAAAACCACTTCATGGATTAAAAAATAATAATAATAACAATAATAATATTTTTTTAATTGCCAAGTAACCTGACATGATGGCACACACCTGTAGTCTTAGCTTCCTGGGAGGCTGAGGCAGGAGGATCTCAAGTTTGAGATCTATCAGCAACAACGGGAAACTTAACCACACTCTGTCTTAAAAATTAAACAATAAAAAAGGCCCGGGGATAGAGCTCAGAGGTAGAGCGTTGTTGCTGTATTTAATCCTCAGTGTCACAAAGTAAAGAAATAAATTTCAATAAATAAAATTGCCTAGGCAGTTACTAAACTGAGGTCCTCACCCTGTCCCTGGGCCTGATCCTGACCCTAAGCCCTGGGGCGAGGGTTGGGGGAGAGGAGAGAGACCCGGAGAAGCCGGACAAGAATGCCATCCATTCTGGGTTATCTGTCCAGACGCATTTATGAAAAACTTGTATTGACCGGCAGGACTGGGCATGAAGGACCTTGCCCGGGTCATAGCAGAGAGGCCACAGAAGTTATGCACGTGATTTTGGATGGTGGTAAGCGCTCTGGGGAGAAATCGAGCAGGAAGACAAGAAAGGACATGTCTGCGTAGGGTAAAGGGTGCACCTGTGCCCTCCCACTCCAGGACTGACATTTGTCCTGAATGAGATCAAGGAAGGGATTGTCAGAAGGGTCACCCAAGGAAGGGACTTCCAATCAAGCAGCAGAAAGAAGATCCAAGGCTGGAGGAACAGGAGGTGGGGGCCTGCACTAAGAGGATTCTCCAGAATCTGGATTTCACCCTCAGTTCACAGTGAAGCCACTGGAAGATTTCTAGTAGGTGAGGGTAATGAAGCCAAAAAAGCAGAACTCAGGTTAGGGAGACCCAAAGCTATCTATGGCTCCCAGTTTCCCTGTGTCCTGACTGGTCAGTGAATGCTTCTTTGTTCAGATCTTCTCAAGTGGTCTCACTGTGACCAGCTCAGGGAATCGCCACTGGCTGTTAACTTTGTCCCTAAAGTTGGAGTATCCAAAATTCATAACTTCTCCCTGCCCAGGCTGAATTCCCACTTGGGCATCAAAAGCTGGGTCAGCCTGGGACTCACCAGAGAACATACACCTAAGCCCACCTCCCCAGAACTGTGGCAAGCCAGGAAGGAAGCTGTCCCTCAGCAGTGGCTTCTGCTGCACTCTGGGAGGCAGAGAGGCAGACCAGGGCTGTCAGACCTTCTGATTTTATCCTTCTGACAGGTGTGGACACTCTTGGTTTTTAAATGGAACACAGTAATCCAAATTAAAATAACATGTCAGCCAGGCCCAGAGGTGAACACTTGGAATCCCAGCAACTCAGGAGACTGAGGCAGGAGTTTAAGATCAGCCTCAGTGACTTAGCTAGGCTCTACCAAGGTGGGGTCGGGGGACCTTAAGCTGGGGTGTAGCTCAGTGGTAGAGTGCCCCAGGCTAAATTCTCAAGACCAGAAGGGAAAAAAAAATAATAATTTTTTTAAATGGTCTCTATCCATGAACCCTGAGGCCAGAGAGTTTCGTAAGACAAGACCCCAGCCCGCAGGAGCCTCAGGCCAGAA